AATAAACTATTCAGAGAAAAATCCACTTCATTCTATTAAAGTGAATGATAAAAAGTGCATCTGACTCAGGCCATAGTGTTCCAAATCACTTGCTATGCATCTGAGAGCTGGACGATGAATAGGAATGGCAGAAGAAGCACTGATGCCTTTGAGCCTATGGTCCTGGGGAAGAGCAGTAACACCCCATGACGGCCAAGAGAATAAATAAATACGTCTTGGAGAGGGTACAGCCAGAGTGATCTTTGTAAGCAAGGTTGATGAGGCTTCACCTCACATACTTCAGGTATTTTGCTAGGAGAGGCTATTCCTGGGAAAGGGACATGATGCTTGGAAGGGTGGATGGTCGGCGAAGGACAGGAAGACCTTCAACCAAGTGGACTGACATGGTGACTGCCACAGTGGGCTCTAATGTGTCAGGAAGTGTGAAGATGGTACAGGATAGGATGGGGTTCAGATCTGTTGTTCATAGGGTCACTATAAGTCATAGTTTACTCAACGGCACCTGACAACAAAAATGATAAAACAGGTGATTTACTTGTACTACCTCATTTAATCCTCACAACAACCTTATGGAGAGGTAGACAGTATTATTAAATCCCTTTACCAACAAGGAGGCTGAAACTCAGAAGCTAAATAATTTATCCAGGGCCAGCAAGCAACAAAGGTCTGTCAGAATTTGACAGTTTTCACTCTTATCTGCCTTTTATACAAAAATAAGGAAAATACATTTTTATATTAATATGTAAATATTCACATAAAATCCAATAATATGAAATGGAAATGTCTACATTTCCATTAGAAAACTTAATAAGAAAGTCAATAATGGTGCACGAAATACTAGTCTGGACTGGGGGTTCAAGCTGCTACACTTTATAGAGTCTGAATATGATTTCAATTCAGTCTTTGATTTAATGTCCTTGTGCATCTACATTAAGTATTTGTGAAAGAAGGTTTCACACCCTAAGCCTTAAATTATCTTCTACAAATACAATTAGAGGTGAAAAGCAACTAAGGTAATGTGACATAAATCCAAGGGAAGCAACAGACAACAGAAACAGAAACTTAGACGGGTCAAATCTATAGTCACTCACGTAAAAACTTTACACTATGTATGTTCAAAGATGAACTTTAGCAGAGTGTTTCAGGGGAGGGGAAAGGGAATTGGGACGTTTAGAATTGTAAAACACGACTTAAATGAAGAACATGGCAAATACAATGCTTTAAATGTATCTGAATAAAGATTTACTGAAATGAAACAGAAATTAGAAGACAATGTCCTGAATAAAGCAGAGGCACAGAAAAGCTGAAAAGAAAAAAAAAAAATGTAGAAAATACCCTTGAAGATGTTATTTCTAAGAAAACAAATTAACAATGCAAACATGATTACATTTCTGTCTAAAACAAATGTTTTCCCAATTATTACTATTTTTTTATCTTATACATACATAAAGAAATTCTGGAATACTCCAGAAACTTTTAACAGTGATTGCTGCCTTTTTAAGTCTGTGGTGGTGGTTGTTAGGTGCCATCAAGTTGAGCACGACTCATAGCGACCCTATGAACACCAGATCTGAACCCTGTCCTATCCTGTGCCTTCCTCATCATCTCTGACACACTAGAGTCCACTGCAGCAGTCACTGTGCCAATCCATCTGGTTGAGGGTCTTCTTCTCGTTTGCTGAGTATTAATCTTTCCAAGTATTATGTCTCTCTCCAAGGAACAGCCTCTCCTAACAACATATCCAAAATATCATCTTTGCCTCCAAGGAGACTCTGGCTACACACTCTCTAAGCCATATCTGCCTGTTCATTTGGCGGTCCATGGGGTATTCAGAACTCTTCTCCAATACCACAGATCACAGGCATCAATTCTTCTGTTATCCCTATCCATTTTCCAGCTCTCAGATGCATAAGAAGTGATTAAAAAGACCATGGCCTAAATCAGACACACCCTAGTCTTCAAACTGACATGACTGCTCTTCAGTAACTTGGAGAAGTCCCTGACTGCAGATTTTCCCAAATATCTAAATACTGATCGCCTGACTGTTACTAATCTTGATACCAAGTGTGTTGATCATGGATCTAAGTAAAATGGAGTTGTTGAAAGTTTTAATCTTTTCTCCATTCGTGCCAGTCTATCAGTCCAGTGGTGAGAATATTTGTTTTCTCAATGTTGAGATGTAATCCATATTGAAGGCTGTATAGTGCTTCTGCAATAAGTACTTCAAGTCCTCCTCACTTTCACCCAGCAAGATTGTATTATCTGTGTATTACAAGTTGTTAATGAGATTTCCTCTGATCCTGATGCCACATTCTTTTTCATAGAGTCTAGCTTCTTGAATAGTTTGTTCAGCACACAGTTTATTTGCTCTACTCAGACAAGAGTCTTTTTTTTTTAAAAAAAAAAATTCATTTTAATGAAAGTTTACAGAGACTTAGGGTTTCCAGTCATTCATTGTTGCACTTTTCTCCCTGCCCATCCTTCCCCCCCAAATTCATTCTTCTCTTTGAAAAGAAAAACTCTTTCATTGTTATGCAATCCCTCTCCTCATATCCACTCCACTCTGCAGCTTTCACTCTGGACTTCTGTAATGACAAGAATACCCAATCATATATCCCTTTTAAAGAGTTCTCTCCCTCATCTGTTCCAATGCCATATGCATCATTCCTCCCCTCCTTTTCTGTCTTCCCTCAACTCCGATGTCAGTCCCATTTTACAACAGTGGCCCTATACAATATTTGTCCTTTTGTGACTGAGATAATTCACTCAGCATAATGTCCTCCAGGGTCATCCATTTTGCATATTTCATAAGTTCCTTGTTTTTCAATGCTGCATTGTATTCCAGTAGGTGAATATATCAGAGCTTCTCTATCCATTTGTTTGTTGATTGGAAACAACAGCCTTTTAATGTAGTTACAGGTGTCATATAATTAAGTGCTCTGGGATTGCCATTCTTCTTAATGTTAGCCATAATTTGTTGTGATGCACACAGTCAAATGCCTTTGCACAGTCAATAAAGCACAGACATTCTTCTGGTATTCTCTGCTTTCTGGCAGGATCCACCTCACATCAGAAATTCTATCTCTGCTGCTACAGCGTCTTCTAAACTCAACTTGAAGTTCTGGCAGTTCTCTGCCAATATGCTATTCCAGCCATTTCTGAAAGCTTTTCAGAAATATTTTGATGATAACGTTAGAAAATCTCTACATTCTGTTGGCTCACCTTTCTTGGGAATGGGAACAAACATGGACCCCTTTCAGGCAGTCAGCCCGGCAACTATCTTCCAAACTTTCTCGCACTGACTGAAGAGCCCATCCAAGGCGTCAACCGTTATCTGAAACATGTCAACTGGTAGCCCATTGATTCCGGGGGCCTTATTATTTGCCAATGTCTTCAGTGCATCTGGAGTTTCTTTATTCATTACAATGAGCCCTTGATTATATAGGAGTTCCTAAAATATTCCAGTGTTGGCCAATTTGTTTTGGTACATTAACTGTGCATTCCTTCCATCTTCTTTACTCCTTCCTAGGCTACTTAAGATTTTGCCCATAGCATCTCTAAGTAGTACAATTAGAGGAAAGGAGTTCTTTTATATGAGACTCTTTTTATGCATCTAAATTTTTTTAAATTTTATTATTTTTGTGTGAGTGTACCATCAAATCAGATCTGACTGGTACAGGAGGAGATTGTCCCTCCTTCCCCGGCAGAGCATCTGGTGGATTTGAACCATGCGCCTCTGGGATTGTA